ATTTACCGAATTCTTATAGTTCACTGTGTTTAAAGCGGCCTGTAATTGGATTTGGAACTGGGTTAGTTCTCATAAAGCGATCGTATTAATATTGGGGAGCTCAAAAGTTTAATCATTATACCAGAGCTTCAATGCCACACAGTATTCCGAGTGCTGCAAAGAGCATGGAATTTGAGAATAATAGCATGCATTTTGCAAGAGCTCAGTAAAATGAGCACGGTTACCGGTATGTTGTTGCAGTCTGATCTGTAACCATTTGTTCCATAACGTAGCATTTCATCATACGTCACTTCCACTTTTGGATTAACTACATTGTTGGCTGAGTAGCACATTGTCCATCCGCCACCAAATGACGTCATATCACAGTACGCCGAGAACATCTTGATTCCGCTATCCGGCTGTATGCGGTACATTCCATCGCGAGCATGTGGGTGTACTCTCTTAATGTCTCGGCAGCTCTTTCCTGAATTGAAGGAAGGAAAGTACTCATCGAGTAAAGGAGAGACACTCTTAATTCAGTTACCACGCGTTATTGCAGCCAGAAGTTGGCATCTAGCGGCCAGGAGTATTGTTAGCAGCCTTATATTGTGTGGGATGTAATTCCATCGCCAGTATACCTCAATCATTTATCAGGTCACCTTACAGTTCAGCGTGGCGGAAAAACACTAGGAGAGTTACTTATCTGCTGTAAGACTGGCACAAAACAGTGACCCCGGTCAGTGCTCGAATCCAGACAGCTCTATTAGTAGGGGCAATGCGTTAGAGCATTTAGTACGCTAAAACGCGAGTTTTGTCCAGGGGCGTAGCTAGGACGTTCCCGGAGTGCCCGTGACCCCCCTTTTGAAAGCTTTTTTTGAGCAAGCAACCTACAACAGGTGGCGAAAACGACATGACATTCTGTTGAGTACCCTCACTTTGACACAGTGTTGACCCCTCCCTTTAAAAAATCCTGGCTACACCCATGTTGTCCGTACCTGTAATTACGCAGATCCCGTCACTGTCGAACTGATGACAACCCTAAACAGAAAAACAAATCTGAAATAAAAATGAAAGCTTTTCTAGGACCCTAATAGAGTAGATTAGGTTGCAGGCTCTAAAAGTTTGTTTAATTTTCATGCTGACGGAGATAAACCGAAGAGATTTGGATCCGGCGTATTGGTACCTTGATCTCCCTAGAACGTGGAATGTAGCCAGTCTCCCGCTCCAGCTTCCCTTTCCTTCCCACCCTGTGCTCATTTATACCCTTAGGTGGAAAGAGACACTATGAAAGTAGAGTTTTCATGAGTTTTCCCCGGGAATACATTTAAGGACTCCAGCCATGGGTTGAACGTGTTCGTTTCGCTTTTTTTTTTTAAATTTGAAAATCGCTTACCCTTCAATGTTTGATGCAGGTATTTTGAGGAAGATTGTCGTGGTTTCTGGATGGCAAATAAGAATACAAAAAAGCACGGCCCCCTTAGTTGATTAACAAAGACTAATGACTATGCAAGTCTTCCCCGTGATGCAAATGTACAAAGTCTGCGTGTTTTTTACTTATAACACGACCCGTCTGTCCCATTAAGCTCTCTCCTTCCATTTCGAAAAATTTGAAGTTCGTTCAAACCTCACTGAACCATACAGTTAATGAAGAAATGCTATGTAATTGACCGGAGATAAATCAAATTTAGCGCCACCTCACCTGACATGGTTTCAGCTCGCTGGTGAAGCATTAAGAAATTGTTAAAAGTATCAGTTGTTATAAAAATGTTGCCGGAACACAACAGAAGCTTTTCACCTAGTCAGGAACGGCCGTTCTCCACGTAAATTCTCTCAGCTCACTGAGTTCCGTGTGTGTAAACATACTGAAGCAGCCGTTTTCCTTCACGAATTAAAACTATGGTTAGAGATGTGATGTCTTGTCATCCGTATTTACATAGCAACCTCATACACGACATTCAGCCATCGACCATGTCTTAAAAGCCAATATTTTTTATCACAAAATTTATTTGATTATGATGGCACTTGGATAGCACCATTGTTCATTTTATTAAGTTCTGTCATTTTCGCTTCGAAAGGCAAGGACCATATTACCAGAAATAAACCATAAAACTTCCCTTGTCATATTAAAATTTCAGTTCAAACACATCGTTAATTTAAAAGCACTGTCTTCTTAAAATACTGATCAATTTGCCAAATTGCATATCATCACTTTTCATGAGCAATGTTCCCGTTTTTCGCTCAGGGGTAAATTTTACATTTTACGATCAACGAAATACTGTTCTATAAGAAAATGAGCAATTCGATACTAAAAGTGGTCTTCTTTTGCAAATGCTTGAAAGTAGCCTATATCTAATAAATTTTACCTCCAAGAACATCAAGAACACGACGCCCTGCTGATCACGAAATTCTGTATTTTCACTACTGACGACAGAAATGTTGTGCTTGTTCAGCTCACAAGTTCCGGCTTGGCCGTTCTCCTTTGATGGCAACTTGAAGTTGGCAGAAGTGCACCATGTATTTCTCGCACATTGATGGCTGCACGATAACAGGCTAGGAGAATTAAACCGTTTGACAACGTGCCCCTCCAGGCGTTTATTTTCTCGCGTTGTGAAGTATGACGAACGAGAAGTGGTGAATGTTTCGTCGTCAGCGAAAACGGCAATATATAGCAAGCATTGAAACAGAATTGATAACGAAACGTTTGCGTTTTCCATCGTTGACATGAGAAGCCAGAATGGAACTCGAGAGTGAAGCTGACTTAATTAAAAAAATATATATTTGTTGTGCACGATTTTCTTGTCATATGAAGTTTGCGATAATCGCACTCCGTAACAAGACATGATTGGTGGATAACATTCAGAGGTGCTTGACAGTCTTCGGAAGTCGTCGCTAATTTCAATGTTGAAATAATTTCCTGAATTAGTGGGAAAAATTGACTGATTAACAGGTGTCAATTTAAGGGCAGACAACGAAACCGTTGTTAGCACACTTAAAAAGAATCCAGAGACCTATTCTTTACTGTTGTGTCATAAAACCCATATTGGTGAAAAAGTTTCACTGCGAATGAAATTTGAAATTTGACTCCATGATTCCATGTTCACGTTAATGTTAAGCTAATTACACCACAATTTTGAAAAATGCATTTATTGCAATTCAATTTCTACACCAAATTTTAGCTCGCGTTCGGTTATTTAAGTCCGGAATAAGATTAGGGAAGGTACTGTATCCGTTGACAAACATGAATTTTGATGTAATGTCCAAAACGTAACCAAAAAAAAAAAAGGTTAAACATATAATCTCTTTGTTTCAGTAGCCAACAGTTCTCTGCTTGAAATATTAATAATAATGGGTAGCCTAAGAGTCACCAATGTCTTTGCTATATGTTTGGAATTACTATAGAATAGCCAGAGAAAAGGGAGGGGCCCTCCTAAACCGTTTCGATTTGGTGTCACCGTGACGCAAACCGAGGTGTTAAAGTCAGTATTCTATTCTAAAGGAGGACGTGACGTTCACGGAAACCCAAACAGATTTACAATAGGCTATACTCAGTAAGCACGTTCAAAAAGTCAACTTCGCTGTTATCGATAGCTTTCAGGTTTATTTTCGCAAGCTTGTTCTTGTTTAACATTCTCTGCAATAATAATATTTATAAATAATGTATGCTGACTTTTCTCCAACTGTAACTTTCCATAACGCGTCGACTACGCGAAATTCTTGGAAGAAAAATATATTTTTTTAACTGCCCAGCCCCATCTCCCCGCATTCCCTTCTTTCAATGAACAGTTAAATAAACAGACAAATAATTTCAATAAACAGGCTCAAAACGTCCAATGAAACTTCTTTACTTGTAAGATGAGTGAAACAGAGAAAACAGAGAAACGTCTGTTCAGAAATGAAAAATGTCGCCAGAAGAAGCTAAGGTTTTAGTCCAGAAATATTACATTGTCGTCGTCATCCGATTCGACAATGTGTGACGAACGTTTTGGGCGTTTACTACTACTGACGAAGTCGTCACAATCCCCGTCGACCATATCCGAAGAATTATCGATTGCCTCTCTGTTAGTCTTGGTCCCAGGTTCCATCTTACTTTTCTTGCTCAATGCATCGCTCTTTCCAGCCACGTTTGATGACTTCAGTGATCGCTTGCTCGTCTTCTGTTTGATCTAAAAAGTGCAAAGAACACAGACTAAATTTACTCCAAGAACTACCCAGGGCCGGATTGTTCAAAGGGTTAGCGAGAATTTTAATTTACTTTTTGTAACTTTTCGGTGAGGTTTCCTGTTTATATTATTTTGAGTTTGAATAATCTCAAACTTCCCAAAACATAAGCAGTGCAACACAATAGACCAATTTCGATATATTAAAATTCAGCCTAAAACAATAGACCTCAGCACGAGGCTCTGGGGAATAAATACAGAGTTTGTGGGGTTTATTCCCCAGAGCCTCGTTCTGAGGTCTATTGTCTTAGGCTGAATTTTAATATATCGAAATTGGTCTATTTTATACAAGAAAAATTTAAACTTCGTTTAACTTTTCATCTTGGGATAGCGTTAACCGCCTTTCGAACAGCCCTGCCCTGGTTTACACAAGAGTTCTTCGACGCTATACACTGCGAGTTCTTTAGGTCATGATCATCCTAACAGCAAGAATCAAAACTGATGCACAGAGAAACTATGCCTGGTATATTGTTTTTTTTACATCATTTAAAGGGTGATAGTGTCCAACCAACCTTTTTAGATCGAGAATCCACCCTGAAATCCATGAACACTCTTTTACCGACTTTCTGCACCAACCTCGCGTTAGGCCCTGGCACGAGATAGCTAATAGTTGAATACGGCGTGAAGTGAAAATCCTCGCGCAACACACCCTCCAGTAACAAATAAACCACAACTCGTTCACAGTCCTCGCGCGAAAGATCCGGAGTCTTGACGTCACGCATGCGCAGGCTCGTCTGTCCCTTGCCGCACCAAGCGTCTACAAGTTTAATGGCGGTAACACGTTCTGAGAGAGACGCTGCTTGATGGAGGATTTTCAGGAGGTCTAAACAGTGGTTCGTTATATCGAGGGCTTCAAAAGGAGATGACCCTGTACCACAATAGAGAAGAAAAGCAAGAAGTGTTTGATGACATGAAATAGGCCATTTTACAGTTGTGTGCTCAGTGACCTGGCCTGTAAATGCAAGTGAGGCTGGAGGTGACCTTGTTTTGATAGAAAACTCTCTGCTTTTCTCATTACTTGAAGTACCAATCAGTTAGCATTATAACAAAAGCAGTGAAGTCTGTAACAAAACAAGGTCAGTTTGAGCCTAGCTGCCATTCAAAGGCCAGGCCATTGAGCAGAAAACTGTAAAATTGTCCATTGATTGAGACCTCTTACCATCTACTTGGTCAGCAGTCTTCTTCATACAGTTGTCACACATTTCGTGGCATTCAGCTGGGTTCCAGGACTCTCCAAAATGTCGACCAATCAGAGCTCGCCTGCAATTCTTCTGTTCTTGACAGTAAGACAACATTCCATACAGATTCTCCAAACCTGTTGAAAAAAAATGTTTGTAGCGATAGAATAGCTTTCGCAAGCTTTTGTAAGAATTTTCCATGAAATTCAGCAATTGCCTCTTGCAATTTTTGATGCAACTTTAGATAAAATACAACTTTACCTGTTTGTTCTGTAAAGACCATAGTGCTTTGCTGAAAGATGTCAAATGGCCGATAGAACAAAATACAGTGGGACTCTTTATCATCTCTTCCAGCACGCCCACTTTCTTGATAGAAATTCTCCATGGATTTGCTCAAGGAGTGATGAATTACAAAGCGCACATCTGGCTTATCAATGCCCATTCCAAAAGCCACTGTAGCTACCACAACCTACATGAACAAAACAAAAAGAAAATACTACCCTTTTAAAGGAGCTCAGTCATGGTATTTTGAGTTATTTTTACCATGCACATAATCACCTATAAACTAAAGGAAACCTGAAAATAATAGTTTACTATGATAGAAAAACACCAAAGAGATAATAATAATCCATAGAGGAACAAGGACGATTAAAAATGGAAAAGATTAACACAGATTACAAACAAAGAACATGACAAATTTAGGCTAAACTTTTCAAGGCGCACAAACTGTAACAAGCTCCTTAACAACCAGAGTAGCCGACCACAAGGACATTTATTGTTATAAATTTTAAAGCTGATTACTTGTATTGTATTACTACTCCAGGCTCTATGCACTTGACTGCGAGACTTGCCATCTAGATCGCCATGGTAACAGGCTGCCTTAATGCCATGAGAGGTAAGACTTGAAGCAATGGTAACTGAGTCTTTGCGAGAGAAACAATACACAATACCTGTACATAATGAAAAGGACAGCGTCAGCTGATTTGCCTTAGACAGCAGGCCTGCAATGCATACAAAAGGCTAAAGTTACATAGCTCTTCACATGCTCTGCATGCCTACAAGGTAAAGCCAAGTGGCCCATCAGGCCGGAGTTTATCCCGGTTTCTTTAGCATCAACAATCTTGTTCCCAGAGTCTTCGTTCCCCTTGACCAGCAATTGGAAAATGAGAGCTCTGAGAGCTACCATTTTGAAATAACAAAGGAAATAACCGGATTCTACCCATCTGGTTTCACTGTGCAGTCTGCATCTATGGCACATGCCTGAAATGGTTGGCCCCAGAGCTCTCATTTTCCGACCGCTGGTCAAGGGGAATGAAGACTCTGGGAACGAGATTGTAGCATGAAGGGACTACATGTAGGAGTATTTCTACTCCCTCCCCTGGATGGGATGCTAGTCCATCGCAGGGTTACCCCCATTAAGTTAAGCATTAAGTTCGCCGGTACCCATTTTTACACCTGGGTGAAGAGAGGCACTGTTAGAGTATTTAAGTGTCTTGCCCGAGAACATAATGCAATGTCCCCGGTAAGGGCTGGAACCCGGACCACTTGATCTGGAGATGAGCGCTCCAACCATGAGGCCACCGTACCTGAACCTTCCGCATGCCTACAAGGTTGTCCAATACGATCCATCATAGTTTGTAAAATTAGGTGCAAATGAAATAAATACAAAATTAGAACAGTCACTGAAGGACAAACAACATTGGTGAGACACACATGAAGAGCATTAAGAAAGTAACACTTTGACATTTAAAGTGGAAGTCAAGTTGAAACAGTGATAAGAGACTACCTGACTGCCCAGGAAACTTCTGCGTCAACAGTTTGTGAATTTCATCCATACACTCACCATGCTTTGATGGCTTGTGTCGCACCTTGTGGCACAAAAAACAAAGAAAAACCTGTTCTGAGTTGCCTGTGATAATAAATCTTAGGCACCAGTATTTTAATACTAATGAAATTTGGTAAACCATAGTTTTTACCTAGATTTAAAAATAGGTAAAATAGGTAAAAAATAGTTTACCAAATTGAATCAACCTTGAATATGTCAGGGCATCTTTGTTTTCAATACAGTAAAACATTTCTTTTATAACTGTATCTAAATTTGCAACAAACCAATCAGATTTGGCAAGCCAGGCAAACATTTGTAGTTCATCTGGTTATGTATCTGCATGTATAGTATAAAGGCAGGCACAAGAGTCACGTATTATGCGTCTGGACAAACTATCCTTCAAAATGCATCTTGAATGATGCACTATGAGAGAGAGTTCGTCTAGATGCATAATACGCCTTGTGCCTGCCTTTATACTAAAGTGGCATAGCCAGATGAACTACATATGTTTGCCCAAGTTTGTCCAGACGAATAATGCGAGATGAGGAAGCATTATCCTTCTGGATGGATAATGCGTCCTCTTGTAAAAAAATTAAAAAAAAAACCAATGCCAGTGACTGCCTGAAAACTGAGGGTGCTAAGTGTTTTTTTTTTGCAGACAAGAAGAATGTACATGCAATGAATAAAGTAATGCAAACCTCATAGAACAAGTTAGGTCTGTTGAAAGATGCTTTAAAGAGCAGACAATCTTCCTGAAGGCCAAGAATCTTTTTGACATCATCAACAACTTTTGTCGTAGCTGTGGCTGTGAGACCCAAGATAGGGACCCCTGGGAACTGACGCTTCAAAATCCCAAGGATTTTGTAATCAGGTCGGAAGTCATGGCCCCATTGACTTGTGCAATGAACTTCATCTATTACAATTCGTGACAATCTGCCACCTGTTAAAGTGGGAAAATGGAAATTAAAATATGTTTTTGAATTCATTGGTCTATATATAACTCAAAAAAATATAAGCTCGAGGTGCTAGGGGGTGTTTCCCATTCTCTTTTATTCCCTGGAGTCTCAGACAGAGCTGCCAGTTATTTATATAGACTTGCCAAGCACTCACTGCCTCAGAACAAGTACAACTCCTGCTGCTACTAATACATGTAACTTTCAGGATTTACAATACATGTAGATGGGGATATCATAAATGCAGATCTTAAGAACTGTAAGGGGGTCAGCTACGTATACTAAAGGTGATCTATGGGCCACTGAAACAGAAGTCAGAAGACATCTTTGCCCTACTCTGTGGGGAGAAAATTTCATTTGAGTTTGCTTTCACTCTGCAAGCAATCACCTTGACCAGCCAGAGGTATCTAATATTATGCAAATGTATTTCAACATAACATGATTGTTATACCTTCATATGTTTTCTCTAATTTAGCCATAAACCTTTTGCTTTTGGCAATTTTCTCAGGTGTTACATACAACAGTTTTAAATCGGAGTTCTTGTCAACCATTGCGTGGTGTACAGCGTTGACTTCGTCCTTGGAACAGTTAGAATTTAAGAAGGAACTGTCAATTTTGAGTTCATTCAAAGCCATAAGCTGGTCCTCAATCAAAGAGATCAGCGGAGAAACAACAAGAGTGACCCCTTTTGAAATCACTGCTGGCAGTTGAAAGCACAAGCTTTTCCCACCTCCGGTGGGCATGATCAAAATACAATCAGTTCCCGCTATAGTAGCATTAATACACTCCAGTTGAAGAGGGCGAAACTTTTCGATCTTGAAGATGTCCTTCCTGGCAGTGTCCACCTTTTTAGACCAGGAGAAATTGTTTGCCGACCAATTTTGGCCATTTTCGTTCTTCTGCACGGACGAGCAAGGCTCGCATGTGTCCAGTCCGCTACATATCTGAGATTGAATCAGTTCCTTCCGTGACTGGAGAAATTGTTGTCTTTCCAGCAGGCTTTCAATTTGAGCCTCAATTTCCTTGAGTTCTGTATCAATTTCGTCCAGCTCTTTTGAAAGCTCCATGACGAATAGAAAAAGCAAACAAACTGTACACAGATTATTGCTTTCCTTCTGATCTGTTCACGAGTCAGTCATGGCATTTCGTCCGCCATATTGAATTTTTTGTTGAAACCGCTGAACGAGAAGATTAGGGGCTCAGGTTTTTGACTCCAGTTTCCTCTCTGTTCGCCCTTCCAAAATTTTGCATATTTTAACAAATCGAATATGGTCTGTATTCTTATCGACAACGAGTAGCGTCATCACAGTGGTCAAAATGTTGCGGACGCACGAGGCGCAGTAGTCTCCTCCGCAGCCGTTTTTTTGGGATGTCACGCAACGCTTCCCCCCCAAAAAAACGGCTGCCGAGGAGACTAGAGGCGCAGCCGTGAGTCCGAAACAAATTTTGACCACTGTGATGACGCGTACTCGTTGTCGATAAGAGTACAGACCACGCTAAACCACAATCGATTTGTTTTTTTTACCATAATATCAAAGTTATCGAAAGAAACCGACTCGGACTTGAAAGTGCACGCGCTGCACTATGCAAATGAGCTACTTGTACGCGTCAGACTTTCCTTTCAAAAACTTTTGCAAACTTGCTCAACATGCGGAAACAATAAGAAAAATATGTTTGGGAAAAGAGTAGTGACGCGTACTCGTTGTCGATAACAGTACAGACCACGCTAAACCACATTTTGAATTGTTTTTACCACAGTATCAACGTCAAAGAAAATGTTATTTTTTTTTCAGAGCGTGAGCTGAAAAAGACTTTGCGCGTCAGATTGACGCGAGCAGCGTGGTATGGATTCTTATCGACAACGGCAAATTAGCCAATCAGATTGCGAGATTAGCAGCAATTGTGGTAAAAAATTTCTTCGAGCATGATAATTTATTTTTCTGACCATTATTTCATAGCTTTCCATTTTCTTTTAATTGGACTATTTTTGTTGTTTTTAATTTTGCCTTGCCTCATCCTGTCTGGGCTTTTGACAATCAATTTATCCACGTAAAAGTCAAAGGCCCAGCTAAGTTGTCAAAAAGCTTTAGGATGCTGATCTTTGCATGCAGCGCTATTTCATTTAAGCCGAGCTGTTCGAGACATTGGACTCAATTTATTGAAGACTATCCTAAAAAAAATAAAGATAGAAAAGTATGACTTGAGCCTGACCAGATCTCTTGTGTAATCGGAACTGACAAAAGTTCAATTGAGGCCTCACACTACTGTAAAATGATATTAAAATCGTTTAATATCATTTCTAATATCATTTTACAGTGGTAAGGCCTCAATTGAACTTTTGCCGGTTTCATTTAAAATGCTACTGAAGGACAACATCCAACGATTCTTGTGTAATCGTGTTTACTTAGGGTTGGCCGGGTCTCTCCCTTCGGCGGACAGTCCTCCTCTCAAGGCCTGACTCTTAGATGACGTAATCAGGGCTGCGCCTGATCACTCCAATGTGGTTACTCCCTTCACCCCGGTAGAAAGAGCTGAATAATCCAGGAGGTAGTGTCAAGAATCTGACGTTCGTTCTGATCGGCTTCATTGCTCAAGTGCGGGGAAAACTTATCCGGTTAGCACACACTTTGCAGGAGCCCCTTTAATTAAGCGCGTGCAATTCAACATGCTTTTAAATCAACTTGACAATTTTTACCTCTCTACGGCTGCCAAGTATATACTTATTTGTTTGTTTGCTTTTCTCAAACCAATGGCCCACTAGTCGATTTATAGCCATTCGATTTTAATTATTAGAGGTAAAACTGTTAACACGCACTGCTGAATCGTATAAAATAAGATGAACCAAACCGATATCTATGTCAAGACGTCTTTATTGACCGGAGGTCATCATTCCGCTCGGTTAATAAGACCCTGATGTGACGTCTTTGGTTCACAGGAAGTCTTGTTGGATGAGTTTCAACGAAGCTCACCCCTGAATAGGAAATACAATATAAACAAGATAGGATCTTCCTAATGTGGTATTGAATTTTAAGTGACTCTCTATGAAGACCTCACCTTGCAAGCGCTTTTCATTTGATATTGAAGTCCAGTTGAGGCCTAAGCCATTGAGGGATACAGATGTACTGAGAAGATTCGGCAGAGTTGATCAGACTCTTTACAGTTTCGCTATGTTAGGGTTAGCGTTCACAAATTTGTAAAAATCGAAAAAAAAATCAAACGAAGTCTAATTAAAATTATACACTGATGTAAATAGAGATACACGGCAAACAATAGTTGTACAGATAATACTGACAAAATTTAGACAAGATCACTGGTTATATTGAGTTACAGTCAGCTTTGTGTATAGTCGACGAGGTTTGCTGTAAACTGACTTGTTTGAAGATAAGCTAAGTAATATATAGCTAAAAATTCGTCTTACATGTAAAGTAGTTTAATTTCTTCGTAAAACAGAATAGATTGCAGATTTCTACTGTCACATATTCCTAAAATCTCACTTAAATCTTCATAATATATAATGTAAAGAATTAAACGGACTAATTTTATAGCCCATCATGTGTGAGCTAAG